AAATTTTATAAGCAGTTATCAATTATGAATTATTTTGATGTAAGTGAAAGAGTGTGATTATTTTATAAATATTACGTGAATTAACCACTTACCTACCGATAAAAAGGTAAATATATTATATTATATCAAAAGTTTAAATCACATTTACTTCTTAGGAAGTAACAATTTATTTTGTTTATACACATACAGGGTGATTCAGCGCGAGGCAACATTCCCGTTTTAATAAATGAATTAAAAGGACATACCACACAATTTGAAGATCTATTTGAAATTAAGTTAAAGTGTGCAGTTAAAATTTGTTAAGGCTGGGATTTCGTAGTGTGTACAAGAAGTAGATATTTATTACAAATATGGTTTATTACAAATATATAAAAGCCCAGATGGGTATGACACTTAATTATATTTATTCTCACAATTTTAATAAAATAAATTTTAGTTGTTAATTTTTGCAACAATTAAAATGTGCGTTCTAAAATAAAAATACATTTATTTTCATTGTTAAAGCACAAATTTAGATTATAACGAAAATGAACAATTAAAAAAATTATATAATTATAGTCGTTAGAATAATGGCTAATGTTTAAAACTATTAAGTCTCATTATGAGACTTAATAGTTAATGTGTATGATACACATCTGGTATTTTAAATATTTATAATAAAATAAGAGCTTTCTACATTCTGACTAAGAAATCTTAAGTTCAAAAAAAAATTAAGAATAAGAAGAACGTATAAATTGTGTTTAGAATACGTTTAGACTATTTAATATTTTTTATTTGTATATATTGACAAGATCTTGATGTCTTTTTATGAGCGGTGTATTTTTTGTGGTAAATACTTGCAGTATTCGTTTCGGAATAATAACAAAAATAATTTTGTTCCTAGACAAAGACTCACATTTGATGCTTTTGTTTAAAATATGAAATTTCATTCTTTATGACTATAAGGAATTATATTTTCGACATAAATGTACCCAAATTCAAAATAACTCAAAATGAACATGAAAGTTTCTGACATCATAGTTCACGATCCAGACCAAAAATATAAGTAATAGACCAAAAATTAAAATAATATCATCGATCAGCATTTTGAAAAGTTTAAAATGGAAAAACCTTTTGTTCTAAAAGTTAATGATGCTACTAAACCTATTTTCATAAAATATAAATTATGTAATGTTGCTACAATCCATTTTTTAAAATAAATATCTCGTGATAGTTTCTATTCTTAAAACATTATTTTCAAATATATTCCGTCATAAATTATATCACTGTGGTCACATGCAATATACGGGTATACGAGTAAGGAAAAGTAAAAGCCTATTTAATTTCGATTTTGAAGTTACCATCTTAGCCACTGAACAGATATTTTGAGAGTGTAATTATTAGAGTTGGCAAAAAATCAGCCGCAGGACATAGGCGTACGCATCAAAATAAGTGTAATAAAAGAAATTAACTAACAATAAACTGTTACAATTTATAACAATGTATGCACAACTTACCCTCTTAACTAGTTTGGTTATCACAAACTGGAAAAGGTCTGTAAAAACTTTGCAGCATGACATATACTATGAAATGCATGAAGACGTTTAGGAGATTTAAGAAACACTTTTTTCATACTTGCTATTAATGCATCTACCTCTGGAAAACCTTGTCGAATAGTTTCTGCCACAAGGTATAAAGTATACACTTTACACGTAACATGTACCAACCTACAACCGTGTTCTTGAAGAATACGGCCTACCAAACACGTTGTCACGGCACCATCGATCACAAACATCAACACTTGACTTTTTGACAGATCAAGTTTTTCTAACGTCTCCACACGACCCGCGTAATGCTTTAGCTAATACACTCAATTAATCTTTTGCTAGCTAGTAACTGTGGAAATGTCGGTTTAAGAGGGTCCAGTACACGTACTATAACATTTAAAATAGAATTGTTTTTCAATGTGTCGTCTCGTCAACACATAATTACAGCCGTTTAATTTTTAGTACACATTTGATCTTATTTACAATGTCTTCACTTACAGTTGGTACATAGTTACGCAACGTTGTGCGACTTGGTAACGTCACCTTGGGATTGTGTTTATTCCAGAACTCCTGAAATGGTTGTTTGTCAAGTATGTGCAGGAGAACATCACAGGCAAACAGCGTTGAGAATAAATCGAACATAAACTGTGTTGTTGAGGGCACGCCATTTTTTTTTATTTTTATGTTGCACAGAATTTACGTGACGTTTACAATCACATTTGTCCCAGCACATCAGGACTGTCTCGCATAAATAATTATAGTATCATTGTAGAATAAATCTGGGAATTCACGCCTTACAATGCGTAGACACTCCTTCCCTACTCCAAACCTCACCGCGGACGTAAAGTTAATTTTTATTTTCAAAGTAAAAAAAATCATTATTTTGAGCAGGTTTTTTGAAATTTTTCCTGTGTACATACAATCACCCACGTGTTCTTTGTAAACTGACTTTTTAATTATTAATTTTTTTTTTTATGTTTTATGAATTATAATGCATTGCTTGTTTCTGTGCAGAAAAATGCCTCCATAATTGGGAATTCACTGATAAATTTATTCACTTTGTCAGCGTATGGCCGTTTTTTACCCTTGGGTAGGTCTGATATACTTTATTATTAAATTAATATCAAGAATAAAATACAACAAATAAAATTATCAACAATACAACGGAGAGGAATAAATTACGTTGTACATACCACGTGGCATAACAATAGAACAAAATCAAATGTTAGTCTTTGCTAAAATAGTAAACAAATCTCGCTTACGGATTTGGGTATTTCTCTACCTGGCACCGCCCTTCACTTGCTAACCGATTTGCCAACACTAATAATTACTACCTCACAAATATATAAAAGCCTAAAAACTCATTATTTTCTTTTTACAATATGTTTTTAGTTTAATTTGTTAGTGCAAAAATGTCCTAATTTGAATTGAGCAGTAAGTTGACATGCTTTTTTTGTAGATGCCGGGTATGTGAAACTTGGATGAGTTGAATAGTTATAGTAATGTAATAAGCAAACTTATTTTTTCTAGAATCTAATACGAAAAACATGCACTGAAAAAGTTGTTCTTTATTAATTATTTTGCCATTTGGTAAGAACTTTCTGGGACACTCTGTATATTTAAAGTTGTCACCACTAGTACTGCTAGTATCCACACATGTTTGTAGCATCTGCGATAATCTACAATTTGTAAACATTTTCTAAAAAACACAGATCCAACACCACATAAAAAATGTGTGATTGGTCTTAATTTATCAATTCAAAATTCTGAATAATTCCAAAAGAAATATGTCAGCAACATTTAGCTACACTTAACGATCTGTTTGCTATGTGGATATGTTCATTGATATTATAACTTTTGTCAATTTTTATTTTGTTTTAAGGATAAAAGTACATTTATATTTTTTTGTTTGTTTACTTATTTTGTTTTAATTGAAAAATTAGCTTCCTAGAAAGAGATCTGGACTTATATTTTTAAAGCGGTAAGTGAGCTAAAATAGTTTGAGTATGTCGATTTATTCCCCTATAGCAGAATCAAAAATAAATAAAACTTTTTTTAAACTGTGAATATTTTCTGCCTATGCCAAGTTGCCGCCGGTGTGCAAGGCATCCCTTGCTCCCTCGGGTAGGAGCGGGTCTTCAACTAGGTTTCTACAGTAGTACCACATACTTGATGTATTATTTAGGTATGTGTTTTTCGATACGTTATCGAGTTTTCGAGAGATACTGTTGTTTTCCCTAATAAATCAGTAATTAATTAATATGGTTGCTCCAGGAGGTCCAGGAAGAAAATATTTTAATTACGGGAAATAAAATAGCTTTGTCTTTTGGTATATTTAGAAATTCTCTCTTTCTAAATCTCGTTATCGTCTTGTATGTATGAAGTTGGTGCGGATCACTAAATAATACTAGATGTAAACAACAGACGGTGAGACATGGAGAGAAAGAAACTCCCATATAAAATTGAGGAATTTGGGGTCGTCTGATAAAATTATTTTAGACAAAGGGGAGGGAATTATTTAGCGTCCATTTTTGAGGCCAAACCCGTATCCAATATTTCTGAAATTTCTTAACTCAAACTTTAAAGATCACACCGATTTAAAAATATACTCCTCATATTACAACAACCCCAAAATTTTCGAAACAGACCAGCATAAAATGTATACGTTTATTTATTGGGATTTCTACAAACTGAGTCAACGGACATGCTTTAGAAATTTGACAATGACAAAAGTCAAAGGAAATATTGCCTCGAATAAGTAAGTAGAAACGTACTGAAATAGATTAAACTAAGTATTTTAGAAGTTAAGTATATATTACTCTAATACACTTTTGAGTGTAAATCTTAAGAATTATTCATTCGATTGCTAGGAATGTTAATTTAGCAGACAAAAAGTGTAAAACAGAATTTATTTCCATATTTCTTATTTCGATAAATAACGTAGTGTGCTCATTGCAAGCCACAAGCAACAATCTCTTTAAATAAATGCCAATCACAATGGTAGGCTTGTGTCAAATTAAGTAAAATAGTTCATCATTTCTTAATATTTTTCTTATTACTAACGCTTTTATCGTTTATATTTTTAACCAATTTATCGTCGAAAAAGTGAAACGTTTCTGCATGAATTACCTATAGATTATCTTTAACGAAAAATTGAGCTTTGTTATTAAGGACTTCGGACATGAATAGCAGTAATTTGATCGTCCGAAGCAGCGTCGAGCAAACTCCCATCAAAATTGAATACCATAACCCATCCATCAAAATTGAATATCACAACCCATTGGACAGTGGAAGGGTTGTTTCGCAAACTTTTCTACACCCTTCTGGTCAAGCTCCAACGAAAGTTCGCAAAATTAGTTGCAATGTGGGAAGTAGTTTCCCACAAATTGCCATTAAAAAAGAAGAAAGTTTTGAAAGTGACAATGGCATGGAGGTATGTTAATAAAATAAGTTTAATGCAGCCTTGATAAAAATGGGCTCAGCCGGGATTTGAACCCGGGACCTCTCGTACGAAAATCATACCCCTAGACCACTGAGCCACTATATTGCGTAATGCTTACTATACCTAGAAAATCGAATTTTAGCAAAACTTTTATAAAAATTTTACTTACAGGTTCTTCTTGTCAATGGCTGTTGGGATACATCCAATAAAATTCCTAACATTATAGCCGAAATGCATAATGTAAACACTGAAGATTTCACACACAATTCGTTTTTTAAACATGAACTACACGATTCCCGTGATCTTATTAATCCAAGTCCAAGAGGCTCTGATAGTGGAATAGAATCCGATTGTACCGATGGAAATCTTTCTTGGTTATTAAATTATAAAATTCATGAGCTACCTCCAGTTCCAGGTAAATTTATTCCTCATACAAATTTGTTCACTAATAATTTTCTATCCATCTTATTTATTCACATTAACGTTGAAATTGTTCAAAATCACATTTTAGATGCACGTTAGTCTTAAAATACTGAATTTGTTTACTGTTTATTTTATCAACTTTTATCAATTGTTGACTTGTTCACCTGTTTTTATCAATAATATCGCCTAGAAATCCAACTCTCATTTTTTAAATATTTTGACAAATCATCCCAATATGATTAATGTGTGTAAATAAATAAATCTGAATCAATGTCTTTAGGCTTCAAAAATGTTTATTTTAGAAATGTGAAATTAAATTAATATGGCGGGTGTACCAAAAAAAACTAATTGTCTAATTTAATTAAGTATAGTTTTGTATACAGTCTTCATTGCACGTTTATTAATATCTAGGTTTTGTAACTAAAATATGAAAGGCCGTCTCACGCAGCAATTAAATAATTGCATTAAGCAGGACCGATATTAATATATTTGCTACAAGATATCATAAACTGATTTTGACCGGTATAATTTGAATTCATGTTATAATTATTTCAGAAAAAAAAGTAGGATAATATTATGATTATAAATAAAGAAAAGAGCCAATAGGTCTTTACTTTTTTCTATAATTCCTTTCAAAGTTAAATTTTTAGACCATGAGTTGATTACTGGAGGGTTGCTAATTCAGATTATACTGCTACAGAGGTTTTTGGGTAATTTTTCGCACCAAAAAATTATTGTCAAAATTATGACTTAATACCTATCGAAAAATTGTATTTAATCCAATAATTTTTTAAACCTTTTTTCAATTATAAAATGAATTCATGCGTAATTATAGAAATGTATAATATTTATTTTGAAAATAATGTATTTTTGAACAAAACAATTAAGTGTGTGTCACAAACCAGGAAACAGAAAACAAAGAGGCAATACTGGGCCAAATTTATCAGAACAAGAATAATTTGCAAACTAAATTTAAGTATTGTAATGGACAACGCATAAGTAAGTGCTAACATAATAATTGTTTTAATTATTTTACATTTGTAAAACAAATTACTACATCATTATTTTACTTTCAGACTGTAGATTGCATTTTGGACATTTTTTGTATTTTGTCAAAGTGATATTAAATTTGAAGTATTTTCAATGGAAGGTGCGGAAATTTCCAAAAGTCTAAACTGCACTTCTACCAACATTGTAACACTGATAGAAATTATAGAGAAAACCAAAATATAATTTACACTGCATAGTAAATTGAGTAATTATACAGGCCTACAAAAAAAAAGTTCTGTCCTAGAGATCAGACCCAACTTTTCCCATGTATTTTGACACGCTGAAACCAAATTTGGTAAAAAAAATTTTTGGCGCGTACATTTTTTTCTACGACTCCCTATAACCCTCTATAATCCCCCAAGGGGGAAATTTTTTTGAAAAAAATTTCTGTAATGATTTTTTGGGTCGCTGATCACGAATCTGAAATTAAAAATGAATTTTGACATAATGACAGCTGTCAATAAGCTGTCAAATTTCATAAAAAATGTAAAAAGTCAATATCTGGAGCATATTATTAAGTTTTTTGGGCTGCTGATTACGAATCAGAAGTCAAAAAGTTAATGTGTCAAAGTTAATTTTTGACTTCTGATTCATTATCAGCAGCCCAAATAACTTAATAATATGCTCCAAATATTGACTTTTAAATATTTTATGAAATTTGACAGTTGTTGACAGCTGTCATTATGTCAAAATTTATTTTTGACTTCAGATTCATGATCAGTAACCCAAAAAAACCCTTATAGAAATTTTTTCAAAAAGGGGATTATAGAGGGTTATAGGGGGTCGTAGAGAAAAATCGCTACGTCAAAAATATTCTTTTTTGCCAAATTCGGTTTCGGTGCATCAAAATACATAAAAAAGGTTGGGTCTAATCTCTAGGATAGAAATTTTCTTTTGTACGCCTGTGTTATGTGATAACTTATCATTTACGGGTACACTAATGATAACTTATCATTTACGGGTACACTAAATACGAATACTTACTGCAAAGTTTAACACCGCCACTCGAGAGTTGTGATAAATTTTGGCAATTATAAATTCTAAAGCCATGTATGCTATATTTATTTTGGAACTTCATTTTCTCAGACAATAAGTGAATGCGCGGCATAAAAAAGACGTTTTATTAGGCATAGGGTAGCTAAGATTTTAGAGAAAATAGTCATTGCGCGTAACTTGTAAAGAATTATCAAAGGGATTATCTGAAACTGTCTTTTTATATATTTTGATTACCAGAACAAATAACATTACGAGTGTCGATTGCCTTTCAATGGCGTATGCACTCCCTGCATACCTCTATTCCTTAATTCATAATCTCTAAAGTAGGTTAACCTACTTTTAGTTTATGAACTTTGAGGTCAACTTATTCTACAATAAACAGTAACTTCTACAATACTCAAAATGGCAGACAGTGTTAAGAGTATTTTTTTGTGGAGTAGCTTCTTTCCCCTGGTTGTACAACTTTCAGGTAGATTTTACGGCCAAAGATAAGACAAATTTTAGGAATAAAATAAACTCATCTGAAAAAACTGTTTTTTAACCCTCTAAAATCTAGGTTGGTACAAGTGAAGAGGATGGAATACTACAGTGTATAGTTGAGTCCGAATCAGTTCTTGGAGAAAATGTTTAATGAACAATTATTTTACAGTAAGCAGAAATTGAACCTGTGTTGTTATATATTATCAATACAATAGCTTACAAGTTAAAATAACAATAATAATAAGCGTCCCTGGTTCTTCTTGTTAGTATCTGTTAGGAAAGATACTAAAGATTTAAGTTAGAGAACTGTAGAAATAAATAACATCTTGTACATCAAATTATTAAAAATAAATAAAGTAAAATGTAAGGATTTAAAAGGTTTTTGACAAAATCTAGTCAATTATGCGCTGTATGGCATGCTGACCGTACAATTTTTTTTCTGATCCACTGTAGTTTTCTGTCAGTTGACTTAGCAATATTAAATCTCTCGAAAGCCAAGCAAAGTCCTATGTTGGAATTGTTGAAAGCGTACCATATTTGGCGAAGGCGCCGGGCATTTCACAGTGCTGTATACTTTTAAGATATATTTTTTTATTTTGTTATTCTCAAATACAGTTGGATTTAAAACAAAGATCCAAGAGGTATAAAGCTGGAAAAGAATAATAATACAAAAGTTTATAATCGACATTAAAATATTTTGTTATAGTAATAAGATTCGTGGACCTAAGACACTCCGTTTCAAAAAAATATCCCTCCTATTTCAACGATTTTCTTGACACGCTGCATCAATTAAGTTCTAGACAGGCATAGGTATAACAGAAAATTACAGAATTATTGGGGCGGTAGTGTAGAAGCTATTAAAAATATGCATATTTTTTCCGCAATTTTAAGAATTTTATAGTTCGAATACAATAATTTTAGCCTGTCATATTTTTGTATAGAATGTCAATATATAATTTATGGTACAGAATTTAGGAACACTCTGTATATAGGTGAACACCTGTTGGATTCAAATATAAAAAGTTTCCAAAACATGCGTATAACCTCTGCCATATTTCTGCTGGCTAAATGAACTAATAATGTAATTCTCTTGCAAATCAGAAATAAACTGGCTTAACCATGACATCAAGCGACGGTAGAAGACATTGTATACAAGGTGCAAAAAGAAACACTTGCAATTTTTTAAAATTTCATTGATTTCGAATATGTAAAAAAACAATTGAAGTTTTTATCTGTCACATTAGAATGATCTATGGATAAATTGGAAGAAATGGTTTTGGGTGTTTTTGATATCTCTGATATCACTAGGTACAATATTTTTTTTTCTGAAAATGAGACAATTTTACACATTGATCTGTCACTTCAGTGAGCAGTTGAAACAAAGGTTTTTTATTCGATTCAGCAACCATGCACTTAACTAAACTACTCCGCAATAGTCGTAAATGTAAAATTCAACATTATTCAAGAGTGGACTTTCTCACCACCTTCATCTTTGATTTTGGACTTTGCTGAATTTGGTATACAACGTCGTTTAGTCTGGCGATGACAGTGTATGGCCCTTCCCAGGGCGGGTGAAGATTCGAGTACCTGCCTTCCTTTCGTTCTGGGTTATATAGCCAAACCAAGTCTCCCATCTGGTAAACTTCTGAATTAGCCTTAAGATCATAACGAGCCTCATACGGTCACTTGTTATTGCAATTCGCTCAAAAGGAGCCCTGGCGTTAAATTGCTTATTTCTTATTTGTGGCCCCATTCTTGCAGCGCAAATTTCACATTGGCGGCACCAAGCATCCACATCTTGACGACTGTTTACCCAGTAGAAACGTTCTCTTACTTTTGTCAGAGATCTATTGATATCAAAATGTCCGCCAGACGTTCCATTATGCACTTGCTGAAGTACATTTGCTTCGTGACACCTGGGGATTACCAATTTCAAAGTAACTTTCCTTCCATTGGGACTTCCCACGCTCTCTTCAGCAGTTCATCCTTTACTCTAAGGGAGTCCCATTGTGCCCATAAAGCCTTCAGCCCCACTGATTTATTTGAAGTGTCTTTCCAATCGGGTCGGGTTTCTCTTTCTTTCCTTTTCAGAATAGGACTAGTTTTCCTTAACGACTCTTTTGTTCAATAATCCGGAACATCAATCTT